GAAAAAATATAAACAATTCTAGCTGTACAATGAAAACACGTCTGTTCTTCTTACATCCCCTTATTATGGGCAACAATTAATTTCCAAACACTTTTCATAAAGGGTCTTTCCCTCACATGTCCTTATAAAGTGCTTTCACTGTACAGAAGTACATGAGCATGGCAAAATAGTGTCACACTACTCAAAACACAGGAAAATCACAGGTTAGCAACAAAAGCAAGGGGGAAAAAGCAGGGACGATAGGAAAGCTGAGGCTATGCACATAAAGGAGACTACAATTCTTTTAAATGCAAAATGCAGCTGGGTTTATAGAGGAACAGTGGCTCAGTAAGAGAACACTTCTGAGTCCAGAAATACCTTCAAAGTGCAAGTAAGTCTGTTCGGTTTTAAGTCTTGGTCCTCCATCGTTCTTGATCCGTCAACAACCACATAAAGGTGACGCATCTGCATTTCCAGCATAAGTGAAAATCACTCACAGAATACATCCTGAACTGAATTCTTTATTCCATTTGCTTAAAAAAGCCACTACTTCCTCCCTCAAACTGGGAAAATTCAGAATGTTGAGCAATGCAATCAAGTGAAAAAGTAACGCATTTGTCCACTTTTCCTTCAAAATGAAAAAGAAAACCCAAACCACCTCTCTTGAAAAAGGCACACTGCTCTTTTCCTCTCAAGATAAGCTGCAATACTTGCATAGCTGGAACCTTCATGTTTTCATCTGAAAGTCCAGCTCAGTGTTGGACTAAAGCAACGTTGTTATTTTACAAGCTGTTTCAGTTACACCTGTTTTTCATGCGATCCCCACTGCAAAACACACCCCACGTGCCCAACCTCTGAATTCCACCTCTGAATGCTCATGCTTCACATTCACCCTGCCATGGAGCAAAGAATGTTTTAAAAAAAATACAACTGGTGGGAAGCACAAGGTTTGGTCTCAAGCACGTTAGGTCAGCAGTCTTTCAGAACAGGAACAACACCTGTAGTCCAGCAGCTCTGGACCGAGGACAGAAGAGGGTGAAGATACCAACATACCATTCCAAGTCGAACTTGTCCATGGTGTTCATAGAGTCTATCAAAACACAGAAGGACTTAAGTAAGATGCAAATGAACAAATGGCCCCTAAAACAAAAGCCCAAAACAAATCCTGAACTAGACTTCTGCCCAATATGCAGCAGTTAACAAACTGCGGACACTTATTTACACTGACAAATCCCACAACTCAACCCCAGACTTCTAGCCTCTCAGAAAGCAAATAAAAACTATTTCTTACTACCAGGTTTAATGAAGCTCTAAAATTTTATCCAAATTTGAATGTTTTAACATAACTTGAAAGCAAAAGTTGGATTTTTTTTTTTTCTGGTAATTTTTCTGAAATTTGAAATAGAAATCTGGTGCCATGATACCAAACCCCAGCTTCTGTTGTGACAGGAGAAGGGGCAACATTTTTAACTAAAGCAGAGTGGGTTTGTGTTAGATATAAAGATGTTTTTATGATGGGGGTGGTGAGGCACTGGCACAGGTTGCCCACAGAAGCTGTGAAGTTGTAGATGCCTCATGTCTGGAAGCTTTTAAGACCAGGTTGGATGTGGCTCTGAGCAGCCCAGTCAAGGGGAAGCTGTCCCTGCCCCATGGCAGGCAGGTCGGTACTGGATGAACTTTGAGGTCCTCTCCAACCCAAAGCATTCCACAACTCTATGATTTGCACGTTTAAAAAAAAAAAATGCTGGAGGATTCCTCTAAGCTGCCCAGATTGTGACTGCAGCGCTCTGCACAGTGCTCCATCAGATCAAGACCTGCAGCTTCCATAAACCTGGGGCATCCGGCCTGCACACACTCGGTGCTTAAAGTTAAAAGTTCATTTTACAGTTTCTTACGGTGCAACAAGAAGTAACCAGGAAGCATGAAGGGGTAAGGACACAAAAACCCACTTTCAGGCTGATCAAGCCGGGGTTATCTGCGGGCCTGCGGCCACGTAAAATACCTTTTCCTCTTCGCCTTGAAGAGAATGTCATCGATGGTTGCTTTCAACGACCCGGATTCGTCTTCTTTAAGAATTTCCCTACGCAGAGCAGAGTGTTAGCGAGCGGGAGGGAGATTTTTTTTTTTTTTTTTAATTCTCTCCCCTTTCGCCAGAAAGAAGGTGAGGGAGGGGAACGGGGGACGAACACACCATGTCCTTTCGTAGCCTCCTTCCCAGCGCTTGGTCCGCTCGGGTTCGTCATCCATCTCCGCGGGAGGCTGAGGCGGCTCGGCGGGCCTGACGGGAGACGAAGGGGGCTCGGGGAGGGCTGAGGGGAGATGAGGGGTGCAGAGGGGAGATGAGGGGTGCAGAGGGCACTCAGGGGAGCCGCGGACACCGCCAGGCCCCGCCGCCCCGCACACGACCGCCCCTCCTTCGTCTCGGTGCGCCGCCAAACCCTCCCGGCCGCCGCCGGGGCCGCGGAGCGACCGTTCCGGGGCCGCTCCCTCGTGTTCGGTGTCTCGTGGTTTTTTTATGTTTTGCATCCGCCTAAAATAATTCCGAGCATCCGTCTGATGTCACCGAGAGTTTCCATTTCGTAAGCATCGCTGTGAGGAGCTAAGCTCTGGCTGCTCCGAAGAGCAACCCGAAAACTCCAGGGATGCGGTGGCAGCGCGCCAAGACCGGGTTTCAGCTCTTCAATGGCAGGAAAGGTGCCGAGCATCCGTTTCTAAGGGGGCTCAGTACGTCACCCTGCATCCAAGTAAGACAATAAAGAAGGGGAAGAAAACGTGTAAACAGCAGTAACACTTCCTTGAAACGGGAGCAGGGAAAAAACTTGCCACTTCTGCTGCACCCTTCAGCCCGTTGCGCTTGTCGGGAGAAATCTACAAGGGAAACAGAAGTGAAATTACTTTTGCTTTCGGTTAAACCATGCCTGGGGAAAATCCAGAGTTTTTTAAAGGAAAGCAATCTGCTGAAGACAGGAAAAAGGGGGATCTTTTAGTCTGAGAAGCCAGGGTTTGTTTCTTGGAACTGAAATAGCCGTAGTTTGATCTACTCCCATTAGAACACATGCCATCCTTTCTTTAGGAGGAAAATGTCCAAATTATAAAACATTGAAAAGGAAAATTGCTGCCATCTGACAATTTTAATAGGAGAGAAATGAGACTTCTTTCAGAACAGGGGTATTTTTTATTGTCAAGGCCAAGAATTTCAATACTGGACTGGAATATAGGATATAAAATTTTGTAGATTATGATTGTCCAAGTGCTTGCAATTCCATCACAATTTTGAGATTTACAAACTAAATACTGGATACCTCCTTTTAGAATTTCAAACCAATTAGGTTTTTCATTGCCGTGAGTATTCTGTCATGGAAGCTAGTCCATCTATTGTGCTATACAAACTTTTGGGTACATTTATTAGGTACTGCTTTACCTGGCCTGAAAAAATGTACAGTTTGATTAAAAGTATGCAGATGTTGCCACAGTTACCTTGATCAAGGATATCCAGCTGTTTACAAAGACAAAAAGGAAAAACAAACAAACAAACAAAAAGGTCCAGTTTGGAAACTATTAAATTTATTCCTAGAAACTGTAAGTCTCTTGCGTAATTTGCTTTGTAGATCTGTGGAGACAGGAAAGCATTTTGTAAGGATAAAGGCTTCTTATTACACACAGGGTCTGAGGATAGGCTGTAATTGGAAGCAGACACTACATGCCCATGGATATAGGACAGTATTACTTGGTAAGATTCAAATACATGTTAACGACACCTTCTGCAAAAATCCAGTCACACGCGTAAGACCACACAGACTATTAAAATGTACATGCAAAAATGCAGAGTCACAGAGTTGAGCCCAGAGACTCTGCATGAAGAGACTGAGGTGATAATCATTTAATAACTTCAGCTTTGTCTGGAGTACACATTCTGTTCTTTCAGGGTATCAACAGACCACTTGCCCTGATAGCTCTGATGGTAACTAATTTTTAATTTCCTCCTAATTTCTGTCTTGCTCCAACTTGCTTCAGCTCCCAGCCATTTATTCTTATTTCATTAATTTCTTTGATAGATGAAAATGTTTCTTAGACTAGTAATTCTCCTGTGGCGTGTTCAGAGCATTGTTGCCAACTGACAGGCTGAGAGAGTGCGGAGAAAAAACTCCAGGCCAGTTTAGTGTGTAAGATCAGATAAAATGAGCAGGTCCTTTAATCAGGCCCTCAGGCCCAGGGGAATACATGCAACACGCTCACACCCAGGCAGTGGTTCTATGGTTTTATAATAAGGTCCATCCAATCCCAGATTTATCCACCCCCTGGTTCTGCCCCGTTCTACTCCCCGACAAGCCCCTTTGGGAACTGGGTCTGGACTCTTTAGGACCCCTTCTTCCTCATCTTCATCTTCTTGGAGCTCCTCCAAAGTTCGGGGCTTGAAAGTCGCTTTGTCTGTTGTGGTATCTTCTTGTTCAGGCCCAGGGTGCAATGTTCTTAAATAGAGGTGTTTTCTACAGCTCTACTTTGAAAAGACGTCTAAACATGCTAAAGGAACTTAGAAAGTTCAATATAAAATGAGGTAATAGGGTTGGGTATTTGTAAACTACTGTGCTAAAGGCTAAGGGATTATACCGCTACATTAAAATCTACACTTACTGTACAATTGACAAAAAGCTAAAAAAATCTGAAAAGCTCTGAGGCATCACAAGAAAGACCTTTTTCAGTTCTCCATTGATAGGTTAGAGCAAAACCAGCTGATTGTATGCACCAAAAGTGCCTTAACAGACCTGAGGCCCCTAAGAGATACAGAACTAAGCAAGTAGCTTACTGTAATGGTTGTAACATGTTGCCCTGCTGCAACCTAAGGATGCCCTGCATGCCTTGGGATGGTAACCTGGGAAGTCCGCTGCTAAGGTAAATAAATGCCTTCTTGTGAGGCTCCATGCTCAGCAAGCCAATTGCCATGCATTGACTGATCCTGTTCGGAACCCAAAAGCAGTCAGGAACGAGTATTTCTCTCCCCAGCTTCTCTCTCCCAGCTTTTGGAAAATCCCCTTGGCCACAAGGGTGGCATCTTTCTAGGAAACATGGACCACACCCAGTAACATAGCTATCCACATACAGCTGTCTCCACTTGGTTTATTCCCCTGTTCCAGCCACAGGCATGGTGTTCCGTTTTCCCAGCTCCTTTGCTGGAAACTTTGCAGGAAAGGGGAAGCACGATGGTTCTTCACAGGTTGGAGACACTGTCTGAGGGACCAGGAGCCAGTTCCTCAAAGACTGAAGCTCAAGACCACTGTAAAAGAGAGCCTGGGGCTGGATGTCAGTGTCCTATGGAAGGAAGACCTATTAAGGGTGCAGACCATAAATCTTCCAAAGAAAACATCACACAGCTTATTTTTAGGACTTTATGAACACCAGCTGATCCTTAAAGTTGCGTTCATCTTCTGTAACTGATGCAATGCCCACAACTCTCACTGAGAAAAGAAAGAGAAAACTGGATGTACAATGAGAGGTCATTTATTTAGATTTTGGGGATTTGGACAAGTACCTCTCTTACAAAGAACAGTTTAACAAGTATACAGCGCAGCAGGTATAAGAACTTGGCCCATCTCCTTTATAAGGTAGAGAGATTTCCTGTTTGAAATTAATACAAATTAATACAAAACCAGAGAGAGAGGCATCTGAATAGAGAGGGAGAACAAGGCTGTCATCTGATTTCAGACTGATGAAAAAGTTGAGGCACCTTCGAGGTAGATGGGACTGAAGGTTTTCAGATGAGGAGGTGCCAAGTTTTCCAATTCTCTCAGTGTTCCTATGGTGTTTTATGCTATTTACTTAATCCACCAAAACTCTAGCAATTAAGTAGCTACTAAAATTGGAATGTCAGCTTCGTAAGTATGAAGGTGGGTGTGTGGCCATCAGGACTGCAGTGTGAATGACAAGGGCTGAGAAGTCAGAAGGGGTTTAAGTGTCAGACTGAGGTATGTTAACAGAAGTGAAGGACAGAGGTAGTACTACCATGACCATTCTGAACTGGAAACGGCTTTCCTGATGTCTTTCCTTTAAATTAAGGCAGAAGATAAAAACTTTCTTTTAAAGAAAAAACGATCACTAACAAAAATTTGCAATAACCTTAATCAGAGCAGCTTTTTCTAACAAAATGTCTTTATAAGCAATAGAGTAATATGGACGGGGTTTTTATATTAAAATACATTTCAGAACAGACAAATTCAGGTTATAAAAAACTGTACATAGAAACTATCAATGCTTCTAACAATTTTAGTACGTAAAAATAATTAACAAAGATGTGAAAAAGGATACAAAGTTTCCTGGCTTATGAAAACATCTGCACATACAAACCTATCCCCATGATAATATCCCCAAGAAAATATAAAAATATATATTGAATTTATGTCGATATGCTCTGCAAAGAATGTTTGTTAATACATTTTACCTGGCCTTAAAAATGATACTAACAGTTTATACTTTGAATTAATTAATTTGGCTTAACTCTCTGAATGCCAAGTTCACGGACATCTGCTGCCTAGACCAGATGTCCTGTTACTTGCTAATGAAGAATAAAGTGTTTTGCCTTTAAACACCTGTACTCATCATAGCATGACCCAGAAAAGGCATGCAGAGCATAATGACCTACAGCAACACTAATGGGACGTTAATGCAACTCTCATCCTGTATCTCTATTCCTTTAAGGCCGTGTATAAATTTGTTGCATAATCTCTAAAGAGGGGAATAAAAAAAGCAAACCCAAGTGCCCCTCCCCCAGTTGCTTAAATAGGAAATTATTTTTCATCTCTTGTTGGGTGAAATTCAACACAATTTCTGGCACACAGTACAGCACTTGGAAATACAATACAAAAATTCTTATTAAACTAGCTCCTGAATGGCCAAAATTATTCAGTATGATTAAGCACTCCATCAAAACCCAGACAGAAAGAATAGCTCAAGTCTTCCTGATATCATTAAAAGTCACTTACAAATAAAATCTGAAATTGTTAACAGCATTTCTGTGCAAAATTTCCACGTGGTATTTAGAACTGCTTTCTCTGGCGTACTTTGCAAGTTTGCAAATACAGTATTTTCAAATAAAGCATTCATATTAAGAGGCCAGGATTTCCACTAATGAAAACAGAAATGTTAGAAGAGGTTTTCTTAAGTTATCTGATAACTTCAATTACACTGATTTAAAATTGGATCTTCATACAAAACCTACCAGTAATGTACAACATCTAAGTAAGAGACAGAATGATTAACTAATCCCCATAGGTGTAGTGTTCTGGGAGTAAATAAATAGGTTAAAATATGCATGTCGATTTAAAAAACAGAAAATAGTATCCATGAAGTGAAGGCATAGCTAAGTTTCTACATTCCAGTTCATAACTTTATCATAGTCCTGAATTCGTTGTTTTATGTGAGAAAGCTTATTCTTTAGATATTCACAACGCTCCTTTTTCTCCAGAAATGCAGGATCCTGCCAAAAATATAAAAACCTTTACATTAATATATAACGTTTTCATATTCTTCTAAGAATAGTCTATTATCAATTATGTTCTTGACAAAGGATAGTACGTAAATTGTCTCCCAAATTACACTTTTTTTTCCCCTGGACACAACTTTTTATGTCCTGCTTCCCTTCCTTCATGAAAGGCTAGAAAAAGATGTTCTGCTTTTATATGCTGTAGTTACTTAGTAAACAGAGCAGTTTTAAAACAGAAATCTGCAAATATAAATCTCATCCTACTACATACTTTAGATTTTATAAGTGTGCTGTAGTAAGTGCAATAAATCCCCCCCCCACCCTCCCAAAGCTATGAGGTTATGTTTTCTGTTATCTGTTGGCTGTGTCAGTCAGTGAGTATCAATGAATCCCAAATGGATCCCAAAAATAACTAGTCTGCTGAGTGCAAAATGTTAAGAGATGAAACATACTCTCAGAAGATGAAAATGCTAAACTGTTTGCTTGTAGTTTAGTTTTTTCTTCCACATCTGGCTTCTGGAATCACTATTCTCAAAACAGGTTGCTGGCAGGAGTGTGTGGGTTGTGTCCTAACTTTGCCAAAGTTTTAGAAGAGAAAATACACATTGCCCTGACGTATCTACAGATACCCTTAGCTACTGAATTGTGCCTAGTGTCCAAACTGTTGGCTATTTACATTCTCTTTGCTATTAAATAGATTCACTGGCAGTGTAAATCTAAAAATACTTACATTTTTTTTCCTCTTGTATTCTTGCAGAACTTTTGATATCCTTTCCTGTTCCTAATGAGAGACCACAGATTTTTAAACACTTTGAGTATGCTCCATATCTTCATGTAAGTTCTACAAAATACTCATTAAAAGCAAAATTCTCATTTTATCCACACATTATAGTTGTAACATTTCAGTTGTAAATTTGAGAAATAGTGGAAGTATATTATTATTATTATTATTATGGCCAGTCTTCGCGAGCGAAGATCCGGGGAAGGTCTTTCCACCTTCCAGCCTGCGCATTGGATTTTTTAGGTGAGACACAGTGTGTGCGGAACTGAGCCCACCCTTTAATCCTAAGGTTCATCTGCCGGGGCCAAGCGAGCTTGGACGGTGGCAGTGAGGTCCTTAGGACGTAGGTGGGTTGCCTTTAAGGGCTAACGAGCCCCACCTGCCCGGGAGTGGCCCTGACCGGGAATCAAACCCGGGTCTCCGCGGTGATAGCGCGGCGCCTTGTGATTCAAATGTAAAAGTTACTTGTATGAAACAAGGAAATTTAAAAAAAACCAGAGAAACAGGTATATGTCTTAACTACACCTTGGTGTTCTTAACTAATGATCAGACAAGATGTCGCATATACGGGAAAACTTTCTCTCCCACCAGGTCACAGCCAGCCCTACAAAACAGTGTGTCCTAGCTAAAGATGGTCAGAAACTACCTAATAATACCACCTAATACCACTGTTTTCTGTGAGCCCATTTCACAGGTACTTACATATATGCTTTCAGGACGGTGGGGAAGCTGTTTCAGCAACGCATCCAGCTCATCAAACTTTTTTAATACAGCGTGAACTTCCACAGACAGTTCTTTATACTCAGCAAATTGATCATTGAACACGGCTTTGTACCGGTCTCTCATTTCATTTGTTTGAATTACTGGGTATTTCCTTAAAATAAAAATAAAAAAAAATTAAAAAAGTTTTCAAGAACTAGTTTTAGAGATAGGACTTTTAAACAAACACTTGGACCCTTCACCTTGACAGTGTATTTCTGTATTGTTCGCTAATCTCACAACCTGCTGAAATCTGCATGCCTGTAAAGCACTGAAATCACAGAATGGCTGAAGTTACAAGAGACATCTGGAGGTCATCTGGTCTAACCTCCAGCTCAATCAGGACCACCTAGGCCAGGCTGCCCAGGACTGTGTCCAGATGGCTTTTGGTATCTCCAAGGATGGAAACTCACTCTCTCTGGGCAACCTGTGCAGACCTTCACAGTGAAAAATATTTTCCTAATATTCCTCCTGGGTTTCAGTTTGTGCCTTGGTCTGTGGCAAATAGTATAAAAATTAATTTATGATCTCCAAGTTTATCACAGGAAGGTTTCTCCTCTAAAAAGGAGCATGTTACAGATTTAACACTTAGGAAGTACAAGAGTAGTCAAACTACAGGAGCTAAAAAGGCAATTTCCCCATGTATTTTATTTTTTACTATAACATCTGTATGGTGGCCTTTTGTTCCTTTAATAGTTACTGTACTTGCTAGATGATAACTTTCTGCTTTAACATTTGAGGTGTGTGTGGGTTTGTTTTTTCTATTAAGATTCTTTATTAATCATTACTGTTTTGTGCCACTGATACCAGCCCCCATCCTCTCTACCTTTTAACATTAACTTAATAAAGCATCACAGCACATGCATGGCATAGAAACCACAAGTGTATATATGAGAACTGCTGAGTGAAAAACATCATTCAAGTATTATCCATTAAGTTGGTTCACCAAAGTCAAGTCACTTACGCTAAGTAGTCTGGCATCACTATAGGTTTAGGAATGTGGCCAGCAGGTATATGACCATTAAGGAGTTCTGGTTTTCTTTCCACTGACTTAAGCTGCCTGTAGCTGACTTCTTCTCTTGGTCTGTCATCACCTTCATACTGCTTTAAAAGAAAAAGAACTTGTTCTTAATGAAGTCAATTTTACATAAACCACACCATACGCAACTCATTTGGAGACAGAGATACAAGTACCTAGCAGCAGTAGAAGCAAATAATAGATAGTTCTTATAGCCCTTATTGTAATTAGAAAATGGGTAATGAGTTACAGTAATGTTTCTCACACAGTATTCTTCCTCAGTTTGTCCTAAGAGCAGTATCAGTGACAGATAAATACTTCTTTGGGTTTGGAAAGATTCATTTGCCTGTCTTAAAAATACAATTTAAGGAAGATTCTTTGGATATCCATCTAATTTTTGAATGAACAGGAATCATTCAGTTCTCTGGACTTCCCTTTTCTCTTTGTTTCCTATTAAAAGAATTACAGAATATGCCAAGCTAGAAGGGACCCACAAGGATCACTGAGTCCAACTCCTGACCCTGCACAGAACCATCCCCAAGAGTCACACCGTGTGCTTGAAGTATCATCCAGATGCTTCTCGAACTCTTCTGGGTGTGGTGCTGTGACTATTTCCCTAGGGAGCCTGTTCTGTGCCCAACCACCCTCTGGGTGAAAAACCCATTTCCAATATCCAACCTAAACCTCGCCTGACACAACTTCGGGCCATTCCCTCGGGTCCTGTCACTGGTCACCACAGAGAAGAGATCAGTGCCTGCCCCTCCTCTTCCCCTCACGAGGAAGTTGTACACTTTGATGAGGTCGCTCATTGGAACAGTTTATCCCTTGATCCAGAAAAAGAAAACATGTGCAGTCTTGTTGGAACACATAAAAAAGGATCCTGATCCAGTACCGAACAAACAGAGAAAACGGTGTAGGAAATTCACAGTGTCTACAGGAGACATTTAAGACTGAAATTAATACACCATAATTTCTCTGGGAATCGTCATGTCCTATTAAGATCCCATAGAATCTTTGCAGCATATGCAACCACACCTTTGTGTGGCAGAACCAGTCACACTGCTGATGCTCCAAAACCAGCAAGGAGGTCTTTGGAGCAGTCTCAGAAACACGGGAAGAAGCTCAGCTCAGGAAGGACCTACTGTGCTTCCACTGGCTCTCCTGCAAATGAAGCACACAGCCGGGAAGAAAGAAAGTCTAAAACCTACCAGACATCTGACCTGCTGTTTTAGTCATGTCTGCCAAACCCAGTGATAAATGCTACAGAACATGTCACCTTGTAAGAGAGGGTAAGAGCACATTCAGAGGCAACCCTTGGATCTGCTATTTACAGTCTGTTTTATAACTTAGCCTTATGAGGAGTAACTCCTTTACAAGCTTCATCTGAATCTTCTGCGTAGAAGAATGATGAACTCAGTTAAAGAATTAAACCTAATCTCTTCCAAATCAAATAACTAAACAAACAAGTCAATCAAACCAGTCACAAGAAAAAGAGTAACAATTTAGAATTACCAGTAAACAGAAAAATAAATTCCCACTTCCTACCTTATTTTCTGGAACAGAGGACTGTGTTTTCATCTATAAAAAAAAAATATTGAAAGGACTACGTTTTATTTTCAGCAAAAATAGTATGCAAAAGCACAGACTTCTAAAATCTTGACCTTTTCAAGATCATGCTGCTTAGAGAACTACATTTATATTTAAGTAGGAAGAAATTTACCATAAGAGTATTTTCAGACCCATTGCTTAAAAGACTGTTTAGGAACAGTAGAAAGAAAACAACCACCCAAACCCCAGAAGGAACAGCTTGCAGGAAATACTCCATCCACCTCCCAAGCTCCTTTATTATTTCACATTCCAGCCCACGTTAACTCACTAACACTCTGCACCCTAATTCATTGAGTAGAAAACACAACAGTGCACGAACCGGTAGCTCAACCTGCAGCTGTTTTGCACAGCACTCTCCAATCCTAACCTCTATTATAAAAGCATTCTCTTCAGAAATACTTAGTAATAGGAGTAAAAGAACTTGGACAGTAACAGTGAAGAATGAACGAACACCTTCTGTGTAACTCCAGCAATCACCTCATTCTTGCACGACATATTATAAGTAGCTTGAAAAACTTTTATGTACTTTTTGAAAGGAAGGTCTGAGTTTTATGCAAGATGGTGGACTGGGAAGCAGTGCTGGAAGTGCTGCAAAAGAGTACGCAGTCACAGAGCAGAGGAAATGCAACTTTAAACTCACTTTCTCCTACTAATATCATTTACATGCTGACTGCTCCTTAAGCTAGGCTTATGTAGGCCTCACGTACATTTATTTTTATGTTATATCAAATCTTAACAATTTTTTAAAGTGTTTTTTTTTTTGGTGGTGTTTTCACACGAAGGAAATTTTACACAAATGACTCTGAATTCTCTAATTAAGAGTGTTAAGTCTCTGCTACTATAGTTTATCATTAACCAGATGCGTATTGAATGTTTTGCGTATGGTCAAGACCAGAAGTCAGGCAAAATACTTGCCCTGAAAAAGATAAGGCTGACGGTAATGTGACACACCGAAATCTAGCCCACTCTGTTATTATTTTCTGATCACTATTGTAAGGAAGGATGAAAAGAAGTAGCTTGGAGTTTCGTTTGCAAAGTAAAAAGTATTTGGCTTTCTTACACTTATTCACACTAGCACTTGATGCACTGAAAGCACAGTTTTAAAATAAATACTAGGTGGCTTTAAGCCTAACCCTGCCGAACAGATGAACAAGCACATTGTTCATTTCTTCCTTTGTTTGGAAAATACACACCAGGAAATAGTTCATCAGCAGACTCAGGAAGAGAGCCCAGTATTACAAAGAGAACAGAGCCAGGATGAACTATTAAAAAAAAAATAAATAAAATGTCCAGGAACTTGGGTCTGACATCTTAAAAGGTCTTTGATCTAGCAGTCTCAAATAATGTAAGACTGGTTAAAATTCTCCCTCAAGGCTATGGACCTGCTGCGGAGAAGACACCTGATACGACTCCATCTGCGACACGGTAAGACCTCGCAAGTGCTCCCCATCACGCCGTACCCAGTCGACATAAAATGGTAACTAAGGACTTACCTCCTGTTCCATTAATTCCCTGTGCCTCCTAGCCGCTTCGTGCCTCCATAACTTTAGAGAAACCACTGCGCTAATTAGATAGATGATCACCGTGACAAACAAGAAGATGATTGCTGCAGTCTGACCTCCTTCCACACGGCAGAAAGATGCATTTATCGGCGTCTTAAACAACTGGTAGTAGCAGAGCCCACCTCGGTTGGTGTCGTTTACGTACACTATGGCAGCCGACATGTAGAGGAAGAACGAGGCCACATTGATCCCGAACTCGGTCAGAGGCCACCAGTTGGAATCAAGGAGGATAGTCCGGTAGTACATGGACATGCCCAGCACCAGCAGCACTATCGTGACAATCCACGCCACTCCCGCCACCACCAGAACGAAGGGCGTTTTGGGTCCGCTGTAGGAGTATCCGCTGTAGGCGCTGCCCGCCCCGTATCCGTAGGGCTGCGAGTACCCGAACATGTTGTACCACTCGTTGTCCTTGTGCACGTAGGCGGTGACACAGGCGAAGACGGCGGCGCCCAGCAGCAGCTCGGCCACGCCGAGGATCCTGAGCAGCCCTGCCCAGGACTTCATGTAGGCGTACCGCTGGTGGTACTCCTCCACCCGCTCGCTGTACGTCTGCCCGGTGCCGGCGCGGCGCTCCAGCGAGCCCAAGGGGTCATCGGAGGGCAGCATGGCCTCGGCCTCCTTCCGAGAGTTGTAGCTCCCGCCCGATCCCCCGTAAGGGTCCCTGTAGGAGCCGGGCACGGCTTTGGCCCCAGGCTGCGGAGGGCCGGGGGAGGCCGGCGGCGAGCACTCGACCCCGTCCGAGATGTACCTGATGTCGGAGGCCGTGCTGTCCCAGCTGGAGCCGGGCTGGCGTCTCCCTTTGAAGAAGTTCTTCCACGAGTCCGGAATGAACCGCCGGACCGGCTTGAGCTCGGCCGGCTCGCTGGGGCCGGGGCTGCCCCCGGCGGGGCCGAAGGGCGGCTGCAGGGGCAGCGGGGGCGGCGGCAGCGGGGCGGACTCGGGGCTGGCCCCGCGGGGCAGCGGGGACCGGCCGGGCCGCCCGCCCTGCGAGCTCCGCGACATGGCCGGCGCTCGGCCCGGCCTCGGGCGCTCCCCGGCCCCGCTCGGCTCACCCGACGGGAGGGACCTGCCGCGGAGTCCGAAGGGCAGCCGGCGCCGGGCGGGGCACAGGGACGAGACGGGCGGAGGAGAAGGACGAGCAGGGAGGAGAAGACGGAGGAGCCGGGCGGAGGAGAAGGAGGAGAAGGGCGAGCAGGGCGGAGAGCGCCCACCGGGCGCAGCCCCCCAACACCTGCACCGCCCCGGCGGCCTCACCTGCGGCGGCCCCGCGGCCTTCGCCCGGGGAGGCGGGAGCTTCCGGGCGGGAGTGGCGGGACCGCCCCGGCTGGGAGCGACGGGAGCTTTCCCGAATTCCCGGTGCCGGCGGGGGCGCGGCCGGTGATCCCGCAGGAGGGCTGAGCGCGGGGGCCGCAGAGCCACAGAACGGGGCAGGTTGGAAGGGACCACACCGGGTCATCTGGTCCAACCTGCCTGCTCAAGCAGGGTCAACCCCAGAGCACATGGCAAGGATTGCATCCAGGCAGTTCTTGAGCATCTCCAGTGAGGAAAACTCCACAACCTCTCTGGGCAACCTGTTCCATTGCATGCTCACTAGCCCATAAGAAACTTCTTTCTCATATTCAGGTGGACTTTGCAGTGCATCATTTTCTGTTTTTTGCCTCTTGTCCTATTGCTTGGCACCACCAAGAAGAGCCCGATTCCATCCTGTTCCCATGCAGCCTTCAGATACTTACAGGCATTGGTGAGGTCCCCTCTCAGTTGCCTCTTCTCAAGGCTGAACGGGCCAAACTCCCTCAACCTTTCCTCATAAGAGAAATGCTCCTGTCCCCTCATCACCTTTGTAGCCCCTCCACTGGACCCCCTTGAGTAGTTCCTTGTCTCTTTGGCACTGAAGAGCCCAGAACTTAACACTCCAGATGTGTCTCACCAGGGCTGAGTAGAGGGACAGGATCACCTGCCTCCTCCTGCTGGCAACACTCTTCCTAATGCATCCCAGGATCCTGACTGCCTTATTGGCCTCAAGAGCACACTGTTGGCTGATGGACAGCTTGTTGTCCACTAGGACCCCCAGGTCCTTCTCCACAGAGCTGCTCTCCACCACGCCAGCCCCCAGCGTGTGCTGGTGCTTGGGCAGCACCTGGCGCAGAACCGGCCCGGTGACAGGAAACCACAGGGAGCCGAGCAGTCTGTTCAGACAAGCCAGCACCACTGTTTCCCCATCATTTGTCAGTCAGGAGATATAGGATAAATCCACTGTGCTGCACCATTGTCTTCCGCAGAACACAAAGCGCGTTTTACGTTCACCTCAAGTACATGCAGCTGAGTACAAAACAGCATTAATTCAGCAGGAGTTTTGCTTACATTGTTAATATGGGCTATCAAATTTTTTACATTACATTTCAGTCTCTTTTTTTCAGAAGGCTTAAACTTCCAAGTACAGATTCTTTTCTTTTAAGGTATAAATTTTAATGGAACCTTCAAATGCTCACAACTTACCAAGTGTGGACTCTGGAAACACACTGTACAATTGCTAAGTAAATAAAAATGTGTTAAAGAGTGACACTAGCTGCAGTCTCTTTTTTAACTGTATTAGTCTTAATTTATTGTTGCCTCTTTTTATAAATATGGGTAACTCTTATGGCTCATAACAGGCCCACGACTTAATATCCAGCTTGGATCTGATCCTGGCAAAGTTAAGGGGAACTGAGGAAACTTGTCTTGAAGCTGATTTGGCCTTCCAGCCCCTCTACATAGCTAAGGCAGTATTTCTGTGCAGAACACGCTCTCTTTAGCAAAGCCTGTTGTAGCATGTTAATCTGTTCTGATGAGTGAAAGGCCGATATTTTGTTACATTCAGTCAGTCTCCTATTCCTCTGTTTTTAAATTGTTTTCCTCCATGGTTGCCTGAGCTGCAACCTGCAGAGGCTGAGTGCAAGGATGTTCATTTCCACTCCATTGGCTGAAAGTAAGAAGGCATCTTTTCTACTCATTTGCATTCATTTCACTCTTCTCCATCAGTACAATCATACCCATAGTATTCATATCAGCAGGGTAAGTAGCAGTTAAGTCTGCCACTCCAGGATCTTTATCAGTAAATGTTTCAAACTTTAACCTGTAGCAGTAACGTAAGCATAGCAACGGGAAATTACCATGGGAAAAAAACACAAACAAACACAAAAGGCTGTCTTCACACCACACAAGTGTCCCCCTTCACTGATGCTCAATAGATTTCAAACTTTCTGCCAATATTAACCTCTATTCAACACCATTAATTCAAGCCTTACACATTCTTTTCTTACATAACTACCATCAGTATTATGTTTTGTAGCTCTGTGCACACCTTACAGTTACAGGTATTTGTACCCAGAGCTCAACAGTACATGGGAACCCAATGAGAATGCACAGAATATATGAAAGTTCCTCTCAGATAAAGCTTGAAAGGGTATACACCCAACTTATTAATGCAGATACGAAAGATTTAACAGTATTTAAATGTATGCTTAAAACAAAATTTATGGCATAAGGAGCTCTACAGTTATTTGTAAGGTTATAAACATTTTTGCACAGATTAGTGTGGTGGGTTGACCTTGGATGACAATTTTATTCTCAGTTAAATATTTTAGTTTCTGAAAACCAAAGATTTTATCCAGATCTCACACTGAACAAACAGACCTATGCCTAGGTCAGACAATGCCTAGGTCTCAGTGGAAGAGAAAGCTATACAAGGGTTAAAAAAACAAGATTGTAGTTAAAATGTTGCTACTAACATTGTAATTCTATGTAGATTTGAACTGAAAAAAGTTTTAAGAGCCGAACTATAAAATAATAAGGCTACAGGTGAACGAAGATGTCACATTACACTTGTACTCTAAAGATGTTCCTGTATTTTCCTGTATATTCCTTAATTTAATAAAAAAGGTGTTCTTAAAGAAAGTAAATGTCAAGTTAACCTCCCAAAATATCTTTATTATTGGCTTCCCAACATCTTGGATAAAATAAATCTGACCCGAGAAAAATAATCACCAGTATCAGACTGGGTAGATTGCAATGCACATGGAATTAAAGACACAGGAAAATAAATAAATCATATGTTTAGTTAAGTGGTCCTGTTTATGTTTGCATTATTTTGGATACTGAGTTAATATACATTTGAAGTGTTTGTTGCATTTGCATTTTTTATTTACATATCCACATTTACAGACTGCCTCTAAAAAATAACAAATCCCTACTGTCCATCAGCTATGTATTTATTATACAGTTACTATTACATATCCTGAAAAATTAGTTAATCCAGATAGTAAAGCCTTATTTAAGGCATAAAGCTTTTAACTACAAGTAATTAACATAGCAAAGGGGGCCCAAGATGTCTGAAAAGTGTTTTGTGGATTACATACCATACACAGTAATCACCTGCTAATGGATTGCCTCATCTTACACAATTTTTTAAATGCACTGCAAACTTTTGGTTTGTTTATTTTAGCTGGGAAAAGCTTCAAAGCCTCTAGAGTATGTTGATAACAATTTAAAGGAATCGGTAAGGAATGAGGATCTAGTTAATACACTCTGTGGGATTTCCAAAAGGCTTCTCACCAAGTCTCCTAAAAGCTTTTTAAAAAACCCTTAAACCTTAAAAGAAGTCTTAAGCCTAAAGAACGACTTAAGAGCAAAGTCGGATAAATAATTAACAGATAGGAAATGGGAGAGGGGAATATGAGTTAATGGTTAACTCCTGCAATGGAGGAAAGCTGCCACTGCAGTTCTGCAGAGATCTAGAGTGCTAGGACCTGGCCAATCTAGTACATTCCTAAAAGTAACCCTGTGGAAAAAAAAGGGTAACTGTGAGAAGAAAGAGACGAGCAACCTTGCTGATGATTCTAAGTTAGACAGGCTAGTAAGAATGTGGTCTGTCAGACGAATTGTGCCAGGACTTTATGGGACTGAATGACAAAATAACAGCATGATGGAATTAAACATACACAAATACTTGAAATCCATGCAGTAAAAAAAAAAAAAAAAAAAAAAAAAAGAAGGAAAAAAGAGAGAGAGAGAAGAAGGATTTTAAATACTGCAATGTGAGGACCCTGACTCATGTGTTTATTAAGCATCATATATGTGTCATTTCTTGTGGGACAGATACCTATTTCATTCTTAAAGTTACTTTAGTTTTGAAAATGTTCTTGCTGCTGTTTCTAACTGTCTCAGTCAACACAGGCAGGCACCCAGAACAACCACAAACTCTCAGTTAGAACAAGAAGAATAAATTTATTGGCATTACCTTTCTAACCAGGGGATCTCCAAAGCAGCAGAAGCACACAAGTGGAGATGACCCCTGCAGGAGGATCACTGGCCTGCTGTTCACAGAGGCTTATCAAGAGTTATTCCCACTGCAAAGTTGCTTAAGTGATTTACAATCCTCCTCAAGAGTCTTTCGATTTTTAATCCGTTTCTCCCAACACAAACCCAACAGGAGGGCTTGAATCTTGGCTACATGACTAAAAGTGTATTTATGTACCACCATACATATATACCACTTGTGGGTTTTTTAGTTAGGCAAATTAACATTTTGTGTTACAAAAATGTATCATTATGCTAACTGATTAAAAAAAACAAACCCAAAAACAAACAACTACCCCACAACTAATTGCAAGAGGTGCATTCACTGGGTCTGCTAACATAGCATGGTAAGGCAATAGCTCCATCTAAAGACGCTCTGGCTGTAAAAAGCACCTTGAAAAGAGATTTTGCAGCAAGACAATTCTCTTGGTACTGAAAGGGGGAGCCAAAACACCAAAACAAGAGTGAAAAACCTGCTAAACCATTATTAATGTATATATTCTGTTCAGTGAAAAGCAGCAAGATTTTTTTAATGATAGCTACACACAAGCTGCTGAAGAATGAATCCAGAAAAGAGATAAGCAGTTATAGTTAATATATACAGATCATAAATATGGTGAATCCCCTCATTTTTGCCTTCACTAGATATTAAAGACTTCTGAAAATTTTTATCCTTTGATTATACATTTCACCACCAATGCAGACTTTTTTTCTACACTCTAAAAAAGCATTTATCCAAATGTAAAAAAGTGACAAAGGCTTTGGTATCTCATGAATGAGCTATTTTTGATAAACACTTAAAAACTGTTAAACTTGCATGACAATTTAGTGTAGTTTAAACTGCACAAGCTTAAACTTACCCTTAAGAATATTTTGCAGTATTTCAACACTATTTTCTTCTGCATGAACTTGGGATTAAGACTCTCCCAAAAGTATGGAGAGACTAACTTGGACACAG